TACAAATGATGTGACCCAAAGTCAGAGCAATTCCTTGGAAAGCACTGCTTCTTAGTCCTTCCCTTCAGGTGGTCTCTGCAGGCATGAGGAGCAGAGGTGTCTCCACTGAGTCACAGTTCATGCTGATAACTGGGTTTCCCAAGCACCAACCCCAAAGAGAGCAACTAAAAAACCAGACTCCAGGGACATGCTCTCGGGACCTCAACTGTTAGGCTTATCTTGGGTAAACAAAGGCAAAAGGCAGCCTCTCATCGGCTCTTTGTACAAACCAACTCCTGCCAGTCTTGCAAATTCCCAATTAGGCACCAGAGACTTAGGACTGACACTAGACCACAAACTCAGATGAGCAAGTAGATGGCCAGATCTGGACACTGATTGGAGGTAGCCAGGCCATCAGCATCTTTAGAAATGTGACAGTACTGAACATATGCAGTTATTGAAGTCATCGTCACAGAAAAGTGCACTAAACCTCAGTCCTGCTCACAGCCAAGCCCCATGTCAGCCCCTCTCATGTGGGTAAGATAGTCCCTGTGGGCTGGGGGTATCAAGCCCAACATTCTCCTTGAGCGACCCTCCGGTCCTGCACAACCCCACGTGCCTCAGTTCCCCTGGCATCTCCAGCACTGACTGGTGGTCGAGGGACAAATGTGAATATACCTGAAAACTCTTTATAAACTGGAAAGCATAAACCGGTGAAATCTTCATTATGGGTAAAACCCAATTTCAGTATTCACTTTAATTCTTCAAAGACAGCTAGAAATTTTCTTCCTTTAATAAAAAAATCCCAGACATACTTTGAAGTCCTAGAGTAAATCGGCAACAGAACAAAGTGAATCCCCCCCAAGGGGGCGCTGTGGACCCAGCATCATCAGGAAAGCTCCAGGCTTCAAGCCTGACTTTGTCAGGAGCCTGCCTAAAAAATAAATTACAAAAAGGCTGTTTGGGACAGACACAGATGAAGTGTTTTTCCCCTCAGGTGCAGCAGGCATCGGGTAGACTACAAATCAGTCCGTGAACTGGCTGCCTTGGGGGCGTATTTAGGCATCAGTTCATTAATCTTCCGGATGTAGTCAGACTTTTCTGCACAGCCTTTGCACGTCTCTCCCCAGTCGTCCAGGATCTTCTTTAGCTCTTTAACTCGAAGCTTCTTCAGGTCTACTGTGCTCAGGTCGATCTGCTTGTCTGGAGAGAGCAGGGAGAATAACCAGCTAGGTGGGAGAACAGCGGACCCCAATAGTCCCGCACATCCAAACCATCCCTTAAAACAAGCAGCCCTACTGATCGCAGGGAGACACATGCAAGTGTGTCAGTGACCACTGCCCCCAAGAGGGAGAACTAGCCCAGGCCCCTTCACCAGGAAGGTGGGTCTTATGCTGGCAATGTCCACCACAGACATGCAGGTGTCACCAGGGACAGGGATGGAGGCCATGTGGTCCTTACAGGAGGAACCTTATAGGAGGAATGTGGCTCCCACTCCAAGTGCCTCTTAAACAGTCACAGTGCAGCCCACACCACTGTAGAATAAGAGCTCCAGGGTGACAGAGCAGATAGATCCCCTAGCCTCAACTGCCCAACACAGACCATGGTCGGGCCCTTGAGTTAGAAGCTTACTCTTCCATGACCACTTGTGCCCACAGAGAGACCCTGAGTCATCAGGACTGAACCAGGATCACTCTCAGAAGACCAGTTATCCTTGACACAAGTGGGCGAACACAGCCCTTGGACACTCAATTCACAATAAAATATGTTGGTGCTGTTTAAATTTTACAGAAGAGGACAATGATTCCTGGCCCTGACTCTTTCTGAAGACCTGAACTGTTTTTCCCACCAGAGACTTATTCAGCAAAAGAGATGCTGTGCGCCCATAATCTTGGGCCTTCTTGTTGGGACACAGCCATTCTTTTTAAAATAATAAAGATCGCTGGACCTTCAGAGCTTGCAGTCAGAACAAGCCTGGTTTTTTTTTTGTTTCTTTTTTTTGCGGTACGCGGGCCTCTCCCGCTGCGGAGCACAGGCTCCAGACATGCAGGCTCAGCGGCCATGGCTCACAGGCCTAGCTGCTCCGCGGCATGTGGGATCTTCCCTGACCGGGGCACGAACCTGTGTCCCCTGCATCAGCAGGCAGACTCTCAACCACTGCGCCACCAGGGAAGCCCAGGACAAGCCTGTTAAAGGCAAGTCAGACTACATCCCTTCTCTGGCCGAAAACCAACATTCTCATCTTCCCTCAGAGTAAAAGCCAAATCTTCACCAACTTGCAAGGCCCTCTGTGACCTGCCCACCCATCTGTCATGCCACTGGTTGCTTTTGCACTGCCTGTTTCCTCTGCCTGAAATGCTCTTCCATTAGTTATGCCCTTGGCTAATCCCCCACCTCCTTCAAAGTTTGCTGAAATGTCACCTCCTCGATGAGGCCTATTCTAACCTCCACCCACCACGATGCAAGGTGAGTCTGTGCACTGCCCCCCGCCCCCACCATTTAACACCACCAACCATGCTGTATAACTCACTCGTGAAGGCTCTAGTTTATCACGTGCCTTCCCCAGCTAGAAAGTAAACTTCATTAATGCCTGAGCAAGGAGGGGGTTCGGTGTCGGTTAAATAAGGCCACACTCACCGTATTTTAGCTCACAGATCTGGCTGTCCTTCTTCTTGAGCTTCTCACAGATCTTCTCCACAGGGATGTGGTGGGCCAGGGGCTTCGACACCTCATTGATGATCTTGGTGGCTGCATCATCTGTGGCCCCAATGTAGTAGCACTGCAGCAAGAAAGGACAATGGCCTTCAGGAGGTGCCACTTGAGAGCTGTCTCCTCCAAAGCATACTGACATCTGAAAACATCTTCTTTCTCTGCCAGGGCCTCATTTTCCCATGCCCCGCCTGTACTGGCAGTCAACAGTCAGTGTAAACCCCAGGCTCTTAATACACGCTTGGTCCCAGAGCTGACGACAGCCACCAGATGAATTTAAAAGTCACCACGGTTCAAACCTTTAAACAGAAAGACAGACAAACCAGAGACTGCCAGGGAAGTTAAAGCTACAAAAGCCATCGTTTCATTAGGGCTCTTGTCCTCAATTCAGCCTTGGCCTACCCTGGGCACACCTTGTAATCTTCTACTACCCTCACACATGCCAAGATTACTCTGGCCTCTGGGCATTCACACTGGCTATTCCCTCTGCCTGGGATGCTCTTCCCCCTTCACAATGATGACCCTTTCTCAGAAAAATTCTTTTTTTTTTGCGGTACGCGGGCCTCTCACTGTTGTGGCCTCTCCCGTTGTGGAGCACAGGCTCCGGACTCGCAGGCTCAGCGGCCGTGGCTCACGGGCCCAGCCGCTCCGCGGCATGTGGGATCTTCCCAGACCGGGGCACGAACCCGTGTCCCCTGCATCGGCAGGCGGACTCTCAACCACTGCGCCACCAGGGAAGCCCTCAGAAGAATTCTTAACTACTGTCTAAATCAGCACGCACTCATTCCATCCTGGTCCATTTTCTGCACGACACCCATCCCACTGCATCATTTGCCTGTCATTGCTCTCCCCTGGTATTTCCAGTGCCCAGCACACAGTAGGTGCTTAATCAGTACTAAGAGGGTAACATCACAACTGCAGAATACAGAAAGCCCTTCAGTCCCACATTAGTTAACTGACAGAACATCTGGCCTCCTGAATAGACAAGTGGGCAGGGCCTTTTACTGAGAGGCCTGTGAAGCAGAGGGTCAAACACTGGCCAGGGCCAGCTTGGGGAGGGTCAGACAGCTACTCACCAGCCGATTCTCTTTGCCTCTTGCTTCACGGCAGAACTTTATAAGTTCTTTTTCAATAGAGGCTGGTGAGAATGTGACATCTCTGTCTTTGAGGTCCTGGTAAAATCTTCCCAGATAAGAAATACAAACTGGAAAAGAGAGGGAAGGGAGATGCTCAGCAATCACCAAGTTGCACCGCAATTCGCCAGGAGGGAACTCCGTCAGCAATTTTAATAGGAGACACGGAGAAAGGTGAGTTTTTCCATCACCGATTTTCTCAGGTGCCCACAGGTAGACAGAACCGCGCTCCGGGTTGCTGGGCCCCCTGGTTCACCCAGGGCATACGGGGAACGAGCATCACCCAATGACCCACAAACGGCTCCTCCCTGCTTTTTCCATAAAGTTTAAGCCGAGACTGAACACGTGTCCTTGAGATGGACTCACTGTGACCTCATAAATGGACAAACTGGAGGCCGAAGAAAACAGCGATCCAAAAAATGCTGCTCATTTCTAAATACAACACCGAACTCCGAGGTGCGGCTTCGCAACCCCATCAGACAAGGCGCGGTGCCCACGGCCGGCATGGAGCCGGGAGCCCCCTGGCCGGGAGCCTCTGCCCAGTGATGGGAAAGGACCAAAACTCCAGCGTTATCTCAATTTCAGGCCAAGTTTTCTGCACGATCTAGTCCCAGCTTCTTCTCGTCGGACCAATGTTTTGTAGGCCCAGGAAGTGTTTTCTAAGAGGCCCGGCGTCGGCCCTTCCTCTGGCGGACCCCGCTGGGGCCGGCCGCCCCCGCCGCCCCCGCCCGTATCAGCCCCTGCCACTGGGCCGCTCAGTGGTTTGGTAAGGTTCGGCAGCGCCGCCGCCAGGCGGGCCACAGCGCACGGACCCCCAACCCCGCAGCACCTTCGCAGTCGCCCGGCCGCAGCGCCCGGCTGCCCGGCAGCACGCTCAGAGCCAGCGCCACAGCCAGCCCGTGCGTGGCCCACATCCTCCTCCACCCGCCGCCGCCGCCACCGCCCGACTACACCGCGCCCGCAGAGCCGCGCTTCCTCCAGGTCCAGGCCGCGCGCCGTGGCTCCCCATTGGTGGGTGCCCTCCGCGCCCTCCCACACACCATGCCCTCATTGGTCCACGCGCCTCGGAGCCCAGACGGGCGGCTCCACGCTGCCCTTCCCCATTGGCTGGTGGCGTCGCCCGCCCTCGGCCCTAGACAGTTGTCGGCCGCTGATTGAACCAGGGCGGCCGGCAGGAAGCGGCCGTGGAGGCGGCGGAAGCGGCTCGGGCCGCCATCTTGGGTAGGTGACCCGGCAGTGGCTGGGGCGGAGTGTTGCTGGCTGAAGTCGGGTTGGGCGATGTACCGCGCGTGCTGAGTTGGCTTGCGTACCCCCTGTTCTGGGCCCCAAGCCGGTCCGAAAAATCCGCGGACCTCCCCGCCCAGGCCCCGAATTGTGGCGCAGGTCAGGGGCTCTGGGGCCAGCCGTAACCCAACAAGGCAGGGACGGCGGGGGGCCGCAGGCGAGGCTCCGAAGAGGTTTTTTTTCCCTTTTACCTTTTTTTAAAGGATCACGTAGGCGGGGGGAACCAGACTTCGGGGAGCCCCTGCGGAGGCTCTGGCGCCTGCGAGGCCGGCGGACCACGTCCGAATTGCCTCAGCAGCTCAGGCACCCACCCGCTTGAGCCCCGGGTGGCCGGAGCCCGCCTCGCGCGGGCCGTCAGGGATACCCGGGCCGGGGTGGACAGGCTCTGGGCTGGAGGGGCGCCCATAGGAAGGGCTCTCCTCCGGGCTGCCTTTCCAGGGCTCAGAGAGGCACCCGGGCCAGGGTTGGTTGCGTGGCTTTGGGATCAGAAGCATCCCGCCTCAGAGTGGGGAGGTCGGGGGTTCGGAGGCTTGTCCCGCACGCTGGTAAGAGGTGCCCCCCTTTTCCTCACAAGCCTCGGAAGCCTGGCCGAGGTGGCTGGCACGCCGCCTTCTGCTTCCCACTGAGCGCTCAGGGCCCTTGGCTGCCCTCATTTCCAGGGCAGGGCTTGGCTCCCTGTCTTTGAAGGCAGGACGTGGGAAAGGTTGGCTCTGCGCTCAGGGCAGAAAGGAGATTTCTACGGGGCTAAAAGGGCTTGGAGCCCAGCGGCAAGGGTTGGAGAGAGGCACTTGCGCTGCTCCCAATTCAGTGAATTCAGCGGGTCAGTGTCAGGTATTCATCTTTAATTCACATCACAGCAGTCAAAGGAGTGGGGAAAGGGGGGAAATAAGGTGGCAGATATGTACATTTAAAATTCACATTACTTGTTGGATTTAGAACATGCTACCACAATATATACAGTAAAATACCTTTTGGGACACCAGTACAAATTTTTTTTTCTTTAACTTTGCTTTCTGGTACAGGTAAGACCATTTTTAAGTCACTTCTTATTTTAAACATAAATACACAAAAGAAATGGTTAGAAGTTTTCTTATTTTAAATAAGCACAGAATGCCAGAGGTTAAAAACACATTTATATAGGGCTGAATACCAATTGGACATCACACTCTATACATTTTTTGCTCAAATTCCTGTACAAATACACAGCATTCAAATAGGTATTTACAAATAAGCTTGAAAGAATGAAAATCAGTATTTCACACTCTTTTCAGAGGATTCTCATCTCTTGCCTCCCACTTCCCTTCAGACTGGCTGATTCTCCAGTGAAAGGAATTTGGATTATGTCCTTTTCATGGAATTAGGGAAAATGGAGAGGGAAAACAAACTGGGCTCACCCTGTATAAGGCAAGGCCAAATGAACCCACATTCCACTCTCTACCCTCCCATGCCACCAGGTGGAGAAGGTAGATGTTTTTATGTGAGGACTGCCTTGTCCAGGGATTGAGGTTCAGAAGTGCCCTAAAACCTAAATATGCCCTCCTACCTAAGAAATCCAGAGCTAGTCCCCGACTGTCACACTTGTGAACACCAGATGGTCCAGGCCTGCCAGGACTGACCCACTCTGCTTGGAGTCACCCTTGAAGTATCAGAAAGGACCCACAATGGTGATAAACACTCCCAGACGCCCTGAAGCTAATGCGGCCCCCCAATCTTTCCTTATAGGTTACTTGCTGGCATTCCTATTAAACAACCTGGCATTTGTTTACAAGTGAAAAATACCCTAACCATGGAGGTCGGATGGGCCAGCAGACGAGGAACTAGGGGAGCACACACCTGCTCAACAAGGAGAAGGCAGCCGTGGGACCATCACAGTTGTGAATGCAAGCAAATAAATGTTTCGTAGACTTTTTAAAAGTAACTTAGAAGCACCCTGGTAAAATACTATTACCACCCCACCCTATTCCCCCAAATAATAAACCAAGAGGAAAATCGGTGCCCTGACCTGAAAGAGTTTCCTATAAAGACACCACTACCTTCTGCCCAACAGACTGGGGAGGCTGGAGAAACTGCCCTCCTGCCCGCCCTGAACCCTGAGTGGTGGTCCTCATGGGCCTGGAGCTGAGGCCCTGCACTTGGCTACTGAGAGAGGATAATTCAACCTGTGTGGCTCTCTGCTTCTAAGAGGAGAATCCCTCCCACCCTTTTTACCCAGGAGCTTGCTGAGCCTGACCACAAGTCCTCGGGCCTTAGAAGCCTGGCTGGGCAGCCAACCCCACTGCTTGGAGGTAGTGCTGAAAATCCCTGATTCAGGAGCTGATGACAGGCACTCGCGCCACTTCTGAAAGCTTTGAGGATTTCCGGCCCCTGCCACACCCAGCCTCACTCCTGTATCAGCTTGTTTCTCAACACGTGGCTGCCCGGGCCCTGGGGAGGAAGGTGGCGAGGGTAGTCCCTCTGGCGCTACACCCCCACTCAAGCTCCAGAGGATAGGAGATAACCACTGCAGATCCATACACCAAGGGGGCTCCTGCAGGGCACGGGATGTATTAAGAGTGGAGAGGGGCAAAGGATCAGAAATAAAAACGATGGAGGGAAAAATCCAAGGTAGAGTAGGAGGCAGGGCTGGCCCATGGAAGCCTGGCAGTATGCCCTGGGCATGCAGTTAGGCCAGGTCACATGCCTGAGCTGGCAGGTTGGCCTAGCCAGCCTCTCAGTTGCACACTCCTGGATGGAAGAGGGAGCAAGTGGGCAGACATTTGTGCAAAATGGCTTGTAGCCCCCTTGTCCACCGGTGACGTAGTCAATGTGGTCCTTGCAATCCCTGAATACAACCGTGAGCTCTTCTGTCCACACAGCAAAGGAAGAGGTCCCTAGTGCAATTCCCATTCTTCTGTGCATCTCTTCCCTGGAGGGAGGGCCTGGGCTCCTACCCCCCTGGGCCCTGCAAAGCAATCGATTCTGTCTGTGCAATATCTCCATATAGCTCCACATAGTCTGGAACTGCAGGAGGAAGAAAGCATCTACTCCACAAAGGAAAAAGGAAAACCCATAGAAATGGAATGTAGAAAATGAAATAAAAAGAGAAGCCACAACCCTTCATGCTGCTGTGGCCTCTGTACATGGCAACACACGAGTTCACGGCAGTAGAATGTAGACTCGGGGTGGTTCTCTCCTGAGTGCCAGGCCTCTCTGGCTCCCTGCGGGGGGACTTGCTTTTCAGACCTGGAGTGGTGGGGCAAGCTGCTCACTGAGGGTGGTGTCCTAGCTGCCTCCCTACCCCTCATTGTTCCCCTCGGCTGTGCTCCCAGGCCATGCGAGCCTGCTCTTCCTTGGTGCTCCCAGGAGGCAGCGAGGCCTTGCGATGCAGGCCCCGAGGCCTCTCGGCCTCCTCGCGCAGCAGCACACCCTCGTCGTGCTCCAGGGCCGGCAGGCGGGGGTGGTAGGGCTTGGGTGGCAGCGCAGGTGGGTCCATGGGGTCCTGAGGGATGACACATCCCGGGGCTGAGTGGCTTCGGCACGGCTGGGCCTTGATGGAGTCCAGAACAGCGGACTCAGAGAGGCTGTAGTGGACGGGGAGGTAGGGTGGCTCAAGATCTTCGTCAGCATTCCAGGCCTGGCTCGGCACGGAGTCCATGGTGTCGGTTCGAGGAGGGGCCTCCGAGGAGTGCCCAAAGTTACTCTCGCTTAGGGAAGACACACCGCTGCTGGCACTGCCAGACAGCGTAGAGTTGCTGCCATCCAGGCCCGACTGGGGGCTTGTGGGGGAGGCTGGGATAGGGTGGAGAGGAGACTGCAAAAGAAAAGGTAAAAATGTTAGAATCCCTCTTTCCAAACAGGCTGGCTGGCCCACCATGGGAAGAGAAGACCAAGAGTCTGCTTATTAATGAACTTTAAAATAACCCTCATCAACAGCATGTTTCTTGTTCCATCATCAGTCACCCCCTAGCTCTTCGCTGCCCCCAAGCCAGTGGAGCCCCAGAATCACCTGCATTTCTGTGGCTAAAAAATGGCCCTGTCTTGGCTGCTGGGCAGTTGTGCCCCCTGAAGCCATGTCCCAGGCTGCTGGCTGTGGCTCTGGGGTACAGACAGAAGGGCTGGGTCATCAGGCCAGTTGGCGAGGGTAGAAAGAACCCTAGTGGGCCAAGGGCCAGATGAGTGCATTCTGCTGCTAAAATCTGTGACAGTCTTTTCCAATTTGCAGAAAAGTTAATGAGTTTTTCGTAAAGGTCTGGTATCTGATGCTTCTTGCTTTGAGTGGGCTCCAGTTTAAAGTGCTCTATGATCCACCACAGGAATGTTTCTTTATGTCTTGAACTGTGGTGTGTTGATAAGTTGGGTGTTGGCAGGGAACCCCCTGGCTTCTCACTGCTCGTTGCTCACATACTCTGGGTACCATGTGTTGCCGTCTCCAGGACCCTCTGACTTCCCTGCCCCCATCACATTTGTTGCAGGACACATTGGTCATCTGCATCCCAAGTGTGGCTCCGGCCACCCCCAGCTTCAGCCAGGCTGGGATCTCAGGGACAGGAGCAGGAGAGGTAGACCTCAGGTGTCCCAGGGGTGATTCTAGCAGCTGAGATGGCTCCTCTCAGCTGGGGCTGTCACCTTAGTGCATTACCTTGCGCAGGGTCCGGGCTGGGAGGGCCGGGGGGGTGTCACCCAGGGGGTGGTGGAAGGCGTCAAAGTGTAGGGAGTAATGACCTGCAAAGGAAACAGAACCAGAGCCTCAGCTGGGCCCTTCTTGCGCTGCACGTCAGCATATTTTGCAGGGCCAACTGGACAGATGTGAGTCTCCGGCAACCCCTCAGCATTGAAGGCCACAGGAAAACCTCTATTTTCACTGAAGTTCTCCAAAACACAAGCTGCTGGAGTAAAGACACCCATGCCACACAGGAGGTCAAGAAGGTCGAGTGCATCAGAGCCCATGGAACAACAGACTGCAGACAGTGGCAGCTCTCAGCCTGCTGCTTGGCGACGACAGGCTGGTGAGTATCATCCTTGGCATGGTCAGTTCTGATGTCTTCAGCCTCCACGGTTGGAAAGGCCTCACTGAGCTCACCTGCTGTGCTTGGAAACCTCACTGACCCCAAAGCCCAGCAGGATCCTTCCTGCGGTGGAGATGTTTTTTCCTTGGCTGAGTCGGCTCATCTTCTCAGCCTGGAGGGCTGTTGCCCTTGCCCGTGAGTAGAATCTGAGACTGGGGACTATCTGGGGGACCCGCTGGAAGTCTTCTTACCATGCAGCAGGCTTCGGGGAGGCACTGGGGGGGCCAGGATGCACCCCGTGTGGGCAGACAGGAAGGGCTGGGCCTCTCGGGCTCCGCTATCCAGGCTCCAGCTGCTGGGGGCTGCTGGCACCGCTGAAGGGTGAAAACAGATGGCATGAAGGGAGGTTACTTCTTGAGCCACCCTCTGAGAGAAGCCTGTTCTACAGCCTATGGCTTCTGCAGGTGCATACTATGTACTCAGCACACGTGGGAGTGGCACGCCAGCTCCTAAGACACAAAACACTGGCCAAGCAAGACACTGTGGCCCACAGGGGACCGTGGTCAGGACAGAAGCCACTTAAGAGGATAGCAACAGAGTGAACTGATGTCCGAAGAGTACTCAGGATACGGTAAGTGGAGAGAAAGTGCAGCAAGGAGTGAGCGTCTGCAGCCTCCAGGACTTGCCAGGAGGAGAAGAGAGAACAGAAGAGGTGAGAAGAGGAGAGTCAAACAGGCTGATGGGACTGCAAAAAAAGAGAGAGAGAGAGTGCGAGCGCACACCTATGGAGAGTCTTACCAAGGTCAGGATTCAGGGATCTCCCATAGCCCTGGCCCAATGGGAAAAGCAGGGAGCAGGATGGACGGGCAGCAGAGACTGCCTCCGTCCACAGCTGGTGCATGGCCAGGGACTGGGTCCTGCCCCCAAGCTGGCCCCACAAAGAGCCTGTGGTAAGTACAAGCTTTGCCCATCCCTGTTGCTTCTGTGCCCACTGGCTGGGTTTGGGAGGCACAGGGGTTTTCTAGGTAAGGACTGGTATTCACTGTGCCTGCTGGAGGAGAGTCTAAAGCCCGTGAATCATGGCCCAGGTCCAGCAGGGACCACTGCTTCCAGAGAGGAGGGCTGTGGAGCCCATGGGTGCTTTGGGGCATGTAGAGAGGCCCAGTTCCTGGCACCCACATGCTATGGATGCAGGGTAGAGTGGGCCCTGGATAAAGGGAGAACACAGGGTGTCCACCTATGGTAAGGAAGAAGTCCAGTGCCAGAATACTGGCCCGTCAGCCACAGCTGGGGTGAGTGACTTTGTAGGAGGGGAGAGGAGAGAAGGAATGGCTGGACCTTGGGGTCCGAGGAGCAGGAGGGGGGCATGTGAATGCTACTGGCCAACTCCTCCTGGAGAACAAATAACACTGACAAGAAATATGCCCTTTCTCTGACAAAGCCAGACAGGCACCAATTCCCTTTTGCGCTCTCCTAGAGAGAGAAGTGGCCTACCCACTGGCTTTGTTCTGAGGCAGTCATAGCTAAAGTGAGCCTGACAAGGCTGAGGTCTGGGTTCTTCCCACTCCAGGTCCTGAGTGGGGAATGCCAGGGCCTAATGGGACCTGAGAGGCTCTGGGAGGGAAGGAGCTAGAGCTTAGCCGTTGAGGAGGATGTGGCCAGGAGGGGTTGGGCCCCGTGTGGTCCAGGGATAAGGTGATGGGTGATGTCCACCCTAGTCCTCCTCCCTGGTCAAGAACTGCTGTGGGCTTGCAGCAGAACACAGGGTAGAACTCAATGACCTCAACAGCTTCAGCTCTGAGGAGCATGGCTCAGTCTCATGGGATGGCTGACGGCTGGTGGCAGAAGGGAGGGCGTGGCAGTGATTGGGTAGACAGACACTCAACTGTCCACTGAAGGGAGGAAAGGATTCTGACTCTGGTGAACACCAGGTGGATTCCACCAGAAGGCCTCCTCAGAGAGCCTGAGCCACGCTAAGAACTGAACAGGCCTATTCTCATGTAGGCTTTCCTCAAGATGCAGCATGAGCTTCCTGGTCCTCAGCACTAAGCCTCCCTCTCCCGAAAAGGAGAAGTTCCATCTCCATAAAAAGCCACCAAACCTCACTGAATAAGAAGCTTGGAGGTGGGTCTGGGCAGCTTCCCCAAAGGGGCTCTGACAGCCCAAGATCTCATGTGCACATCTAGACCCCGGAAGAACTGTGGGACTGCAAAAGTTTACCCACAAGGGCCCAAAGGATCTTGCAGGTAGGAATGCTATGAGGGAAGAAAGCTGGCAAGGCTGCAATGGTGTACAAAGGGTACCTGCCTGAGCCCCTCTGTGTGAACCAGAAATCATCAAGCTCGCCCTGTAGCCTGCTGTTGGTGACCACTGAGACCAGTGAACTTGTGCCATACAGCACAAGTGCGTTGGGGTTAGTGGAAAATCTAAGATGCACAGACCTATCCTAGGAGAAGAGGGGCAATCCCCACTGTGTCCTGGTCATTTCTCTCTCTCTCTGTTATGGGCCACCACTGGCCTGAGGTCCCCTGTGCACAGCCCACAGCCTCGAGGGCAGGCTTGCTTGGTCTGGGAGTCACTGCCTGGCAAAGAGAGACACATGTAAGTGAGAAGTGGAGTTCTCATGGGACTCAGGATCCCGATGACAAGAGAATGGTGACAAGTATGCACAGTTCCTGCCCTGGAGGATCCAGGTAGAGACTTAGGGAGTTATTACTCTGGCCTATGTGTTCCCCCTAGGCAAATGTCTAGTTTGCTACACACTGAGCACTGGCTTTGTGGCTTAAATGGGCTTGCTCTGGGCTCAGCCTTTGTTCTGAGACAACCCTCTTTCCTTCCCACACCTGGGAGGTGGGCATATCCAGCTTCTTGCTGCAGCTTGGTCTGAAGCCTGAAGCTCTTCTGGGTCCAGTTGGCGTTAAGGTCCTGGTCTGGCCACCAGCACCCAATTGAGCTCTGAGCCCATCTGTGCTTTTGGCTAGATCTGTGATTGCTCCACAACTCAGGTAAAGAGAAGCCACTGTGGATTCTGGCCCTCAAGGCCAAAAGGGCACTCTGTTTTGGGGCACAGGTGCAGGGGTCCAGGTAAGCCGCATGTTTTAGGGATGTGCAACCTTGAGGCTAGGAAGGCATCTTCAGCCAGAATCTCCATGCCCTTTGTGGTTGAGTACCCGGTGCCGATGCCTACCAGGCACTGAGGTCGTGGACCCCGTGCGTGGTCTCCTTAAAGAGGACAGAGAGGCATATCCTCCATGATGAGCAAGGGAGGCACAATGACAGTGAGAACAGCAGACAGCACTTGGTGAAGAGGTGCAAGGATGACATGACAACAGCTTTGGAGGGACATGTTCCGATGGGACAGCAGGTTGTATTGCTGGGGACTAAGTGTGCCCTAAATTCCAACAGATGGAGAAGAGGGGAGGGGAACCTACAGGGAGCGGGCTGACATGGGCCGGTTCTGTGTGGCAGGTAGGCTTAGCATAGTCCCCACACAGGTACTGTTCTATGTTAAATGAACTCAGGTCTCCATGTTTGGGCCGGGGTCATATGGGTCCAAGTCTGGTTCTTCCTTCAGCTTGCTAGAGCAGAACATAGGGTAAAACTCCACTATCTATAAACAGCCTCTGTTCTAAGTATTGCCTAGTCTCATGGTATAGTTGTTGGACTTGCAATGTGTAAAAAATGGACTCACAGCAGCTGCAGGCCAGAGTGGCCATAGGAGGAACTGAAGTCCCTTGGACAGGACTGTCTCTGGGAAACTCACTTTGCCATGGCCTGTCCTTCCCATTATTCTTGGGTGCATGCTTGGCCACAGGCCTGTTCTGAGCAACAAGGAGAGGTCCCCGTGGGCCCAAGTTGAGAGGGACCAAAGGGGCCACAGGGCCTGCTGAATTCTGGGGCTGGTCGGGAGGAGCCCCGGGGAGTGGCTGCCCATCATTTGCATACGGCAGCCCAAGTTTTCATAAAGGTGGGCTCAGGGCAGGTGGCAGCTGGGGCTTCTCAGAGGGTGGGCCCTGGGGAGGGAGAGATACAAACAAACAGGATCCAAACCTTAGCATCAAGCCAGACGTGGGTTAAATAGTGAACACAGGAACTGGTCAGGACTCTGGACAGATAGAGTGGCCTGGGCGTTACAGTGTGGCTCAGCCTTGGCCAGCTGGTGCTCAGGGACAAGAGTCAGACGCTCAGGATGGGGATAAACATGGGAGGAGGCCACCTGGGAAAGGGAATTATACCTTTTTCAGCCACAGACAGATTGGGATCACTGCAGGGTTTGCAGGCTCCAACCACTTGCTGGAACAGGGCCCGCTGGAAGTTTGGCAGCTGAGGGAAGGAGAAAAACATCAAAGAGTGAAAACAACCAGTTACACCTTGGGGGCAGTGTTGTGGGCCACGGGAGCCAGGATATTCCAGGATCAGATGGAAAAATCAAAGCAGTGGTACAGCTCATGCTTGAGATGTGTTGAGAACATCAGGCCAGCTGGAAAACTATCCACGCTATCTGGCTCTGAGTCCTGCCATGTGCAGTGTTTGAGGGTCCACCCTCCAGTGTCTCCCTGGGCTCCAGGTTGTCCTGTACATGGCCAAGAAAAAGGACACAGGCACCCGAGGGTATCTAACTGTATCCTTCTGTCCTGCCAAGGAGACCCACTGGTAGAAAGGATTTAGGGACCCCTTTCACCCCTGAGCACTGGCAGGTTTAGTCTCCTGGAGATGCCCCACATGCACAGGCCCATGTGAGCACTGAGGGTAGGGAAAGGGAAGCACTCAAGCCCAAAGTCACAGACAGGACCTACTGTTCTGATGGGCAGCTGCCAGGCAGACCTGCTCCTTCCACCTGGCAGGGCTGACCAGGCACAGGGAGGTACTGCTGGGAAAGTCCTGGCACTCTGGGACTAGGTAACAGTTGTTTGGAGGTGACTTTCATGGACCCTGACAGAAGGGCAGGGAAGACTGGATAGGAGGGGAAGGAGCTAATCCCTGCAGCTTCTTGTTCAAGA